CAGTAAATATCAAATATTTCCGTTTTTAACATTACTCCAATGAACAAATGCGCAATTTTAAAATAAAAAAATTCGCAAATTTTTGAATGTGAAAAAATCATTTGGATTAGAGTCGACAATGTTGGCAGTTTATACACTGTCCTCGAAGGGCTCAGTAACATTTCGTCTAGTACTATAAACTTAATAGAAACTCATATCTAAAGAACTTGATAAAGGAAACTTTACAAAGAGAAACTCAATATAACAAGCCAGATGGAATCGATTAAATCACTAACTTTGCACGGACATTTATTTTACATTATTATTAAAATACAAACTGAGGATCAACCGAAGTTAATCCTGGAATCATAGATGGAGCTAATTCTCCTCTCGGAGCTACTGGAGCTGTTATCGACCGCTCTCTTCTGACACTTCATCAAGACTGACCCCTTATCGGGGAGAAAATGGACGCCTAGTTTGCTTTCCCTGCCGACGAAAGTACCGTTATCCATGTTCCTCCAGATAGGGGTCACGAGGGTTCGAATCTCGTTCTCCTGGAAATTTCCTCTCCTCCTTGGTAACGGGTTAAATCATTATTATTTGTTTGTCCAGTTCTCAACTGATGATAAAGTTTTAGCTTGGGTTGAATGAACTAGGCTATGGTTCTACATCCTTGGTGGGTTTACAGTACACTTTCGTCTAAGTTCACTTTTGTCTAGTTCATTTTCGTCTAGTTCTTTTTTGTCTAGTAACATTTGGTCTAAGTAACATTTGGTCTAAGTAACATTTGGTCTAAGTAACATTTCGTCTAAGTAACATTTGGTCTAAGTAATTTGGTCTGAAAAAATGTTAAGTGATTTTATTTTAACACTCCAAAAAAAGGAGAAAACCTGTGAAACAAAATCAAGAAATCCGCAATTCGTATAGGAGACATTCTCCACTCTTCTAAAACACGTGGAACTGAGAGGAACTCAATGGCGGGATTAATTATGATACTCAACCAGTACTTTTGTAGATAAGTACTTCAGACCAAATTCCTTACTAAAAATTACTTATACCAAAAGTTACTTGGACAAAATGTTACTTACTCCTTTCTTAAAGTTAGTTAAACCAATTCTGTAGTTTTAGACCAATTTACTTACTAAAAGTTACTTAGACCAAATGTTGCTTAGACCAAATGTTACTAAGACCAAATGTTACTTAGACCAAATGTTACTTAGACCAAATGTTACTTAGACGAAATGTTACTTAGACCAAATGTTACTAGACCAAATGTTATTAGACGAAAGTGTACTAGACGAAATGTTTCTGAGCCCCTCGAAGAAAGAGAAATGTTCTGGTGGATCCCAAAAAGTATGAGTACAACCTACAATCAATGTCAAGGGACAAATCTAAATCATTCTGAAACTGTGTGGAGAAAAGAATTTACTGCATGGGGAAATTGGTGTTGGGGAAATTAGTGACTGGGGAAGTTTGTGTTGGGGAAACTAGCGGTTGGGGAAGTTCCTGTTGGGGAAACTAGTGACTGGGGAAGTTAGTGTTCCGGGGAAATTAGCGGCTGGGGAAGTTGTGACTGGGGAAATTGTGTTGGGGAAGTTGCGCTGGGGAAATGACCTACAGTGAAACCCTTAGTAAAGAATACATCGGAAGAATTTTTTAAATGTCGTCTTGAAAATTTTTCAACGAGTTTTATACTTTATTACGTAAATTTCATTAATTGCGAAATAAAATAAATAGCCATGAATATGCGGGAACAGTTTTAAAGATTTCCATATAATCATTTAATTAAAAAGCTAAATATCTGCTACGTTACATCATCAGAAATTGAAGAATACGACATTTGATGAATTCTTTCGATGTATTCGTTATTAAGGGTTTCACTGTAGCACCTAAGAAATCTGTGCAACCGACCTACACTAGGTCGGATACAATAACTATTTTTAATGAAGTGTATATCCGAACAACAGCAGCTTGAAGCTGCTGAAAAAACCAGGTGCGGGTAGGTCCGAATACAATCACCTCATTAAAACATAAACATTGATAACTCAAAAACTCGGTGATGGTGATGGACCAAACCTCTGTAGAGTAAAAAAGTAGATTTTAGTTCCACATTTATTGAAAATATATTTCGGTCTGGGTTGACCCTCGTCAGTTCTTGAGCTTGTTTCTTCACAAAGATTAAAAACAACCTGATAACTCATACTTGATCATATCAGACAATATCTTAATATCATTCATCTTATATCATATATATATCCTTTTGCAAAAAAAGTAATTACACGAATTAGATATATGAAGTGTATATTTCACGAAAATTTCACATTTTGCGCTAACATAATTTGTTTCACAGCAAATTCCAAATTTTTGCAATTGCTGAGCAAATTTCGCAATTGCGCGAAAAAATGCTTAAATTCCGCAAAAAAAATCGCAAATAATTCACGTAAAAAACATTGCGAGAAAAAATTTCAAGAAAAAGCTAGGATCAACAAAACAATGTCAATATATAACGTTGTAAAACTTTTTAGCGCTAGTATTTTAATCGCGAAAATCTTTTGCGCTTGATTCCGAAGAAGTGAACGTGTAGAGTAAACAATGATCCGTGTTTTGGTTTACCCTGTTTGGAATAGATGTTTTATATTCATTAAACACAAATTAACATCATAACTAGAGTCCAACAGTCGTCTTTCTATTCTAAATTGTTCAGGGACTCTAGATGTAAATTCTCACACCCAGTCTACGACATGAATATACAAAAATAAAAAATAAGTTTCGGAATTGAAATTTATTAAATCAATTAGATTTAAGCATTTAAAACAAGACAGAATATTTACAGATAAAGCGAACAATGTACTCTCACTGCAGCACAAAATACGCAAACTTATGTACAATGATTTATAGCGTACATGAACAGATTCATTTATATAAAGTATGTAATGCATAGATAGTTTTAACATTAACCAATGATTTCAAAAATGTTTAAATTAACACTAACGATTATAAAACTGAATTGAAGGGAGAAGGAAGAATCTCAATCTTTGCATCTTTCCGTGAAATAATAATTTAAAAAATTCAACGAGTGACAAATTTTTTAAATTGCTCTCAGTGTTGTTGTCAAAAACCCGATTAAAGATTCTGCAAAAATTACAAAATAATGATTCATTAAAAGCTGTCGAAATACCTTTAACGTTTAATTTTTATAACAGAAATATGGATTTATTTAACTAGTTGAAATCTGAAAAAATTCTGGAAATTTTACAACACAAACAAAGCAGTTTACAATTTTAGTAATCCCAACAGATTTAATTAAGGGTTAGTTTTTTAAATTATGCAGAAGATCCAATGCCGCACAACATTCTCTAGAAAGAGAGGCTATACTGTTTTGTGGAACTCACTGTACTTCCAGAAAGTTGTAGGATAAAATAATTCAAAATGGTGATAAAAAATTCGTATTTTTACAAAGAAAGTTTACAAAGAAAATTTACAATAAAAAAGGAAAAAAGAGGTAGTGCTGAATGCAATCAGCAGTTTGAACGTTTTTTTTTAACCTTTTCTAGAAAGATCTTTCATTTTGAAGTGTTCAAAAACCCGGAAAAAATAGTACAAAAAATGTAATGTTCATAACATCAAAAAACAAAAAAAAATTCGAGTTTTTATTTAAACTTTTGTTGAAAAGGTTTGAATAAAAAAAATATTCTTGACATTAAATTGCAAGAAAATGTTCATAAATTCGAAATGCATTCAGTTATTTAATATTAGGAAGAACAAATCAAGTGACTCTGCATTTTTTAAAGTGGCATATCCGATTCACAAGGGTACTGTACCCTTAAAAGCTTTGTTATTTCTAGAATGCATGAGATACAAATCATTTTCTCTTTGAAAGTTGATTATTTTCAATTGTAATTTCTGTGTGAAAGGACTTAAAAATAATGCTTCAGAAACAACATGGAGAAAATTATCAGAAGTAAAGTAAGTTTAAAATAGAAAAACTAAACGGTACCGATGTGAATTGAGCATATCCCTTGTGAAAAGGGAAGGTCTCTTCAGATTTCAACACAAGTCCCTTTATACACTTCTCTCTTCTCCCCTCTGTGTAATCTGAGATAGGATTACTTAGCACAATATTAAAGGCTGGAAGCATGGCGAGGAAAACAAGGGAATGTTCAAGATTAACGATATGGCATCTAGGAAGGATTGAGGAGTCGGCCATAAGCTAATATCAAGAATATTCCCTTCTATTTACTAAACTTGTAGATCCTAGATCCATACATTATACCACTCCGTGTAAGCAACAAACAACTGTATAACTATGACAAGTACAGTAAATCTACAATATGTACAAAATAGATGTGTACATGTTAATACTGAGTGTACATCATGTACACCGTACAGTGTGTACACAATCATTGAGATCGATAAAAAAACGTTGATTAACATATTTATAGAGTTAGTGTATCTATTAATCTATGGATATTCTGCAAGATCTATTTATTTATTATTCAATGGATATTCCGCAAGATCTATATATCTATTAATCTATGGATATTCCACAAGATCTATATATTTATTAATCTATGGATATTCCGCAAGATCTATATATTTATTGAACTAAGGATATTCCGCAAGATCTATATATTCATAAATCTATGGATATTCCACAAGATCTATACATTTATAAATATATGGATTTGCTGCTAGATCTTATGGATATTCCGCATGATCTCTATATTAATTACTCTATGGACAGAAAAACGAAAAGAATGAGATTTTCGTGTAAATTAGATCAGACGATGAGATTGCTAAAATAAGGGATTTTGTTAAATAAAAGGGGTTGAACTAATGTATCTATTGAGTAGGGAGGTGGTTTCCTTTTTCATAAATCATGGATTTAAAAATGTAAAAAAGTGGTTGAAAAAAATCATTTTAATGTGAATATTCGGCTAGTAAGAAAACCTTTCGTTTTTTAACATTTTGAAGAATTTGTACGATAAATATACATGTTACAATATTACATGCAAGAACAGAACTCCGCAAACATAATTATATTCTATGATAAAATCTTCTAAACTAGGAATCCTTCGCTAAGATTTACTGACAGCTGGGTTCGAATTGCCTGAAAACAATAATGTTAAAAACAATTATACATACAGTGATAACCAGAAAACTCAGAAATAGAAAGACGACTTTTAGAATCAAGATATAACTTTATATTAGCATGATAAACAACAATCAGACAGTGTAAACAAACCCATTTCAATAAATTAGTGATTTAATAAGTCAAATTATTCAACATAAAATACACTGAAGTATTGCTGTAAAGTCGTCTTCCTATTTTCTGGTCATCACTTTATTAAAGGATTGTCGACATAATTTTAAACCGACCCTCCATTAAAGGGCCAGAAAGCGTAATTACAACAATACCCTTGAAACCCTTATCTGATCTAAAGTGTAGAAGATTTTTCTGAAAAGTATTTATTACAATCATTTTCTTCATTTCTTCTGATATGCAAGAAATGCGCAAGTCACTTCCGTAGAAAACCACAAATGTAAATGAACAGTTGAATACAAAAATATATGGAGATATATATCATACTTGATCAGACAAATCGTTTGAGGGTACCGTTGTAAATCGGGCATCAACATCTTTGCATCGTGGGTCCCTTGTAATTACACTTCCAGTTACATTAAGTAAGTGCAATTAAAAAATGGTATAGTTGTGAATCAGATACGCCCTTTAGCTAACAAAATGTATAAGTCCTTGTTTATTTGACCAAACAAATCTTTTCAGGGTACCGTTGTAAATCGGACATTGCCATCTTTGCGTGGGGGTCTCTTGAAATTAAGCTTCCAGTCCATATGAGTTAGTACAGAGCGTCCCATATCATATTAGATTATCTCCAATCTTTAATGCCAAAATACGCACATAATACGGTCTAATTTGATGTGGGACACCCTGTAGGTGTCTATGTTGGAAAAAACTGTTATGTTGTTGTTGTGCATCTCCCAATTCAAATGATTGATATAAACATTAAACATCAATATGTTGGTTTAAACCTACTCAATAGTTCCAACCGACTTGTAGCTATATCCAATTTCTCTAATATCTAATCAAAAGTATATTGCTACCCCCTGGTCATAAACAATGATGTATAAAGTCCTCTTAGATAAATATCCTTAAGTAGTAAGCATCAGATACTTAACTAAAGAGGCTTTCAGTTCGAATAAATGAATAATTTTTTCTACCTAAGTATTTAATATGGTATTACAGGATTTGGGAGGAGGGGAGGGGAGGGATGAATCATTAATAATTTTATTTACTATAATTTATAATAATTTAATCTATTTCCATAGATTTCTTCCCAGACAAAATCAAATCAAATGAGAATATTGGGGTCGTCCTACACCACCCCACGGGGCAAATTTGAGTTAACTAATACTAAATAAGTTGGAAATGTGGTCTCAATTGTAATCATTTTGATTTATCTTTACCTCTTCTTTAAAAGTCACTTAAAAAATGTTAGGTACTTTACCAAAGAATTTATCCCAAGTAGCAACTTCCCAAGGGTATTTTCCCAAGTGTCAACTTTCCAAATATGTGCAATTTCCCAAGGGGCAACTTACCAAGTCTGCCCTAGCAACAGAGTTCGGCCCCCCAGCCTGTTATAGCCGCGGAGCTCGCTCTCTAACCCATCCTAGCAGCAGCGCTCGGCCCCCATTGCAGCCTGCGGCACCTCAGAGGGCCTAACTTAACCTTTGGGAAGTTGCCGCTTGGGAAATTGCACACTTGGGATGTTGCAACTTCGGAAGTCGCCGTTGGGAAAATACCTTTAGGAAAGTACCTAGCCCCACTTAAAAAAACGTCGACAGTTTCTATAATTAAAATGATGTGTGGTTTATAACCTGTATAGAGTTAATAATCTTCTTCTGGTGTCCGACCAGTGTGACCCCCAGGTCAACCAGCTGGGTCAACCCTAGTCTCGCAACCTGGACACATCAATTAATCAATCAAATAATCAATCTATCAGCCTTAAACTAAATCAAGAAAACCAATCAATCAATGAATCAATGAATAAATCTCAATCAATCAATCAGTAAATCAGTCCTAAACTAAATCAATGAACCAATAAATCAATAAATTAATTAATCAAACTATCAATTGATAGACCGATGAAAAAAGTGATTTAACAATAAATGATATAGTCAATCAACCAATGAACCAATGAATAATGAATCAAAATCAATCCAATTACTGATCAGTTGATCAATCAATCAATGATTCATCAGGCAAACAAGCAAAATCAATATTAATAATCTAATGGACCAACAAGTTAGACATTTTACTGCTGAAAGTGAAATATATTCATGTGATTTTGTTTTTATAAGAGCGAAAAAAATATTAGATATATTTTTATACAGACAAAGAAATATTTTCTTCTATGAATTTTTTTCAGACCAAGGGGTCGGAGTTAGGAGGCAGTAAAAGAGGAAAACTTGAGATTTTGTTGTTCTAAATTTTGTAACTTTAATACCTGGTCAATGTTGACTATTCCGGCAGCGGCGAAGTTATCACTGTATCTAAAGAAAAATAAATTCAAAACTGTTTTTAGCGCTATTTGGAGGCAATTGGGGGTAACAAAGTTGAGGTCAGAACACCGATCTCGATATCATACATGCATGGACAATTCAAAGTTTGAGGATAAATACTTCATCCTTTAATAAAAGTTANCCCCCCCGAGATATCTGAGAGGAATTAAAATTAATCCTCTGACACGATTGTTCTGACTTCTGTTGATTATTTTTTTTTTGGTGTGGAAATTGAGAATTAAATACCAGGAAATCGTTAACTTAACAATAGAACGGTAGAAAGGTTCAATTTGGATCAATTTCGTGAATTTTGGCGAATATTTCCCCATATCAATTAAGATGATATTTAAGTTGTTTGTGCTTTCCTCCCCTCCCTCAGCCTAAGCTGGTAAGTCAATTAGAGCTTCTGAAATACGGAACATATTTTATTTTTCATGAAAATGCGCGAAAATAACAAAAATAAATAATCGGATTCCATATACTTTCGCCTTGGGTCGTTTATATTAAATTAAATTGTTAAGTGAGTACTTTACTTAATTTGTAATCTTTTAAACCAGTTTATCCGTTTTCGGATTTAACTCCCAACTCTTGTTTTTTTTCTAAAAATAAGATAAGCTTTTAAAACCTTGGAACATTTTCAGATATTACTTAGAGAGGACATAAGCTTTTGGACAAAAATATTTTTTTTTCAAAATTGACTAATTGACAATTTCGTAAACAAACTAAGAACATTCCTGTGGTTCTACCGAGTTCCCCGATAAAAAATTGAGTTTCAATTTTATATATATAGGGGAATGTTAAAAAACATAAGATTTGAAAGATAGATCAGGAAAAATTGAAGAGCAGGGGAAATATTTCACGAAAGTAGGTGATGGTCTTTTAGATCCTTTTCCAGAAATTTCATAATTGGACTAGATAACAAGAAATCCTGATTCACAACGGTTCCCCTTAAAGGGAGTGTTCGCGAAAAATGAAAGGTGGTATAGGCTTAATGCGATATAAAAGCGCTTTTGATCGCTACTAATCTTACTTCTATCTGTTGCGTCTATAAGGAGAAAATTGTTAAAAACGACTCACACCGAAGAACGCAGCGTCCATACAAATTCGGAAAGATGCAACATTCAACTCGGATCGTAAACAAATCAATTTAATTCCAAACAAATCATTCAGATATTACAAACAGTAGTCATAGCTTATTTTTCGACGCATTCGTATATAATTAATATTTCATAATATTTTTGATTTAAAAAAAAAAAATTTTCGGTGGCGCCGGATTTTCGAACATTCCTGGAAAATATGAAAATGTCGTCTTCATTATCAAAAATCTTCGAAACAGGAATAAATGTTTTCAAAAGTAACTCTCAGATCATGAAAAATACAAAATATTTTGAAATATGAACTATTTACGAATGCGTCGAAAAATAATCGATGATTAGTGTTCTTCGGTATTAGTCATTTTAACAATTTTCTCCTTATAGACGCAACAGATAGAAATAATATAAGTAGCAATCAAAAACGCTTTTATATCGCATTAAGCCTACACCCCCTTTCATTTATCTCGAACACTCCCTTTAAAGCGTTGTCTGATCAATTATTATGAATGAAATGTATAAAGAAGACACTTCGAAAAATGCTTCAACTGAGATATCCACATTTTTTTGCTGAAGTGTTCATTTCTTTAAACGTGATTATTTCTCGCTCATAAGAAACGATGAATATTTCGAGTCAAAAAAAATATGTTATATTCCACATTATTGATCAGCTAAAAGTTTCAAGGGCACAAATGCCATCTTTGCATAGATCACTTGTCATTAAACTTTCATTCCCTTTAAAAACTTTTATCAAGGGGGTATATTTAAAGAACTAAAACCTCTCCCTCCTAGAGGGAGGACGATTTTAAAAATCTGGGGGAAATCAAATTTAGACATAAAGAGATATCTTACTTTCACTAAATTTTCCCAATTCAGCTAAAAAACCAGAGCTGAAAACTTTAGAATGAGATATCCTTAATCCCGATTACTTAATCTGAGTATCCAATGAACACACTTTTGATTTTATACTTAAACCGTCCTTTCCTGGATATAGTAGAGAAAAATCAAAAACAGTTTTTTTTTTAATTTAGAGAGTCCCTCCCGTTTCTGTATATAATCTTAAATGGCGAGCAAAATTTCAAATTTATCGGCTTCATGCGACTTTGATTGGTTGAATTTTATACAGTTTTCAGGATACAAATACAATTTTAGATTAGTTTCGAGATGAAGAATAAAAGAGGATCAAGCATTAATCTCAATATCCACCATTCTAAAGTTTTCAGCTCATAACAAAAATTTTGTGATACATAACTTCCGAGTGGAAAATAATTTACAAATGGGAAGGGGGGGGGGGGTCAAGAATAAAAACACACCACCCCTGTATTTTATTTCAGTTATCTAAAAAGTAAACTCACCTTGACATTTTAATGTTGGCCAACCATTCATCAACAGAGTTGAATTGAGTCAAATCAGGGGCATCAGGAGCAAATGGATTACAGGACTGAATAAATTAAAAATATTTAAAAAAAGGTTTTCCCAAAAAACTAACGTTCTAACTTACTAACTAAATATGTTTTGTCCAGTATATTTTTATATATATATTACATATATTAAGGCAGAAAAAGATAAGTTACAATCAAAACAAAATCTAATATATACATGTACAAACAAAAATGTATATATTTAAGACAAAAGCAAAAAATGTAGCTTGTAGATGAATGAACTATAGTATACAAGAATATATGAAGGAATGAAGTAAAGGATGAAGTGAAGGATAAAAGGATAAAAAGGAATAAAATAAAGAATGAAAGAAATGAAATGAAGGATGAAGGGAATAAAATGAGGGATGAAAAGAATAAAATGAAAAATGAAAGAAATGAAATGAGGGATGAAAGGAATGAAATGAAGGATGAAAGGAATAAAAGGAATGAAATGAAGAATGAAAGGAACAAAATAAAGGATGAAAGGAATAAAATGTAAGGATGAAGAGAATGAAATGAAGGATGAAAAGAAGAAAAAGGAAGAAAGGAATAAAATGTAGGATGAAGAGAATGAAATGAATAAGAAAAGGAATAAAATGGGGGATGAAAGGAATGAAATGAAGAATGAAAGGAATAAAATGAGGGATGAAAGGAATGATATGAAGAATGAAAGGAATAAAATAACGGATAAAAGGAATGATATGAAGAATGAAAGGAATAAAATGAGGAATGAAAGGAATAAATGAAAGATAAAAAAAATAAAATAAAGGATATTAGGATTAAAATGAGGAATGAAAAGAATAAAATGAAGGATAAAAGAAATAAAATAAAGGGTGAAAAGATGAATAAAGGAATGTAATGTAGGATTTCAGTATAAATAAATGAAAGAGAAAGAATAAAAGTTGAATAAAGAAAAAAGGTATGATATGATAAATGAATTGATTAATATACTGGTGAATTAAGGATGAATAAATGAATGAATAAATTGATAAATGAATACCTGATTACTAGCAATCTTCCTTAATGTTTCTGGACAGCAGATCAGTTTATCTAATGTTTTGACAATATTTCCAAAACTAGGTCTGTGCGCTCGTTCTCGTTGCCAACAATCCAGCATTAGCTGATGGAGTGCTTCAGGGCAGTCCATGGGGGCAGGTAATCTAAACAATATTTATGGAAATGATTTTTTATGAATTGAACAAACAAAAGGCAAGTATTTTCTTACTTTGTGAGTCCTCGCCCCCTCCTCCCATTTTTTCTATATAAAAATCACTTACTTTCCCCTGCAATTAAGTGAGAAAAAAACACATCTTTTTGCATTTCGCACAAACATACCTAAGTTTTCGGGGAAAAAAAATTTAATGAGGGGGAGGGGGAAATGAATATTTTTTTAGACAATCTGTGATACTGAATTCCCAACAATTTAATCTTCACCAACTGGGGATTAAAGAATCTTATATACCACCCCAAATAAACTTGTTAAAAAGATAATTAATAACTTTATATTTACCTGAACCCCTTCTCTATCTGTTTGATAACCTCCTGGTTAGTCCAGTCCCAGTAAGGTCTCTCTCCGTAGCTCATTACCTCCCACATTACGATACCAAACGACCAGGCATCCTTAACATGATTTATCAGTAAGGGTAGCTTTTTACCTTTAAAAATTACTTTACAAAAAGAACCTAGCTAAAAGAACCTAGGCTAAAAAAGCTAAAAAAGGGTGTTTTATTTTCGAGAAAAGTTGTGGAAACAAACACATGAAAAAGTAATAAAAAGAAAAGTGTGGGTAGGACACTCGGTGTTATAATTATTTATAAATACTTTAAAGGGATGTTAAGGGAATTTTGCTTTTAGGGTTCCCAAGCTCATGCAAAATTGGTCTTTCAGTAACTAAGTAAATTTTGTAATTTCCCGTAAAACTGAGGTATGTTCATTTAATTCCATCCAATACGATCCCAAATGTTGATTGATTGATATTAGGGGAGCCAAGTTGTATAAAAAATTCCATACTGCAGAATTATGTATACAACAAGAGAGTGTTTATTTTTCTGTATCTTTTATATTGATTACTGTAGGATACTTAAACTTTTAACACCCCAAATGCAGAGCACATTTCTGAAATGGAACTATATGGACCCCTGGTAAAAAGTTGTAAGCAATAATCTGTTGAGATGACCCTGCTACAAAAAATTCATTAAAATAATGAACGTACCGACGAGGAGGTAAATTTTCTAAATGCTATTGCTTCAGGAGCAGTCCATCTGACTGGTATCTTTCCTCCACGAGTAGTGTAGGCTCCGTCTATGGCCGATTCAGATATTTCTCTAAAAAGGGAAAACAAACGTTTAGAAATTATTTACTGAGCTTGTGAACTATACTATAGTGGAATGGTAACCCATCAAATGGCTAAATGAATGTGTCTTCAATAGTTAGTTTTTTTTTTAAGAAGAAGCGAAATAATGTTTTTATGAATTTTCAGGTTTTTCTTCTAGCACACTAAAGGGGACTTATCAAACAAGTTTAATTTACTTATTTTTAAATATTTGATACGCAGCCCTTTAACCCTTTATTCAATAGAAAAAGTGTACTAAAACTAAAACCTATGTAGAGAATCCCGTAAAACTTAAGAAGTTCAAATGTTTACCTGCTTAGGCCGAAGTCCGCAATTTTACAGACGAGTTGAGAGTTAACCAATACGTTTCTAGCTGCTAGGTCTCTGCAATACAAACATCATGACTTCATTGGTATCAAAAACAAACATGACGTCATTGATGACAAAAAACATGACGTCATAAGTTAAAAAAATAATAGACGTCATTGCTGACAATAACAACCATGGCGTCATTGCTGACAAAAACAAACATGATGTCATAGATGACAATAACAAATATGTCGCCAATGGTAAAAAAAAACATGTAATATGGTGACAAATTCAACCGTGACGACTTAAATAAGCAAAAAAACAAGACGATTTTGGCGACAAAAAAACGTATACAACGTCCAGTGACAAAAAACAAACATGTCGTTATTGGTGACAAAAACAACCGTGACGACCTAAATGAGCAATGAAAACAAGACGATTTTGGCGACAGAAAAACATATACATTATACAACGTCCATAGTGACAAAAAACAAACCTGACGTTATTGGTGACAAAAACAACCATGAAACTTGAATGAACCAAAAAACAGAACGTTTTTAGCGCGGAAAAAAGATACAACATCCATAGTGACAAAAACATAAATGGTGTCATTAGTGAGAACGTCATCGACGATAAAAATACTTTTTGACGTTAATGTTTAAAGTTAGTATGATGCGTGCGACATGTTCAAAGAAACGTCTCTTTTCATTATTTATTTATAAGTCCTTATTTTTACTGTTTAAAAATACTTTCTTCAAGGAAAACTTTACTAATCCGTGAAAAGGGGAAACTATTTTCTGAACTCTGACCTTTCAAAAAGTTAATATTTTGGATTACAATTTATAAAACAAAAATTTGACCAAAGACAAAGTTTAAGTTTCTATACGTTGAAAAATATACAACCCTGTTTCTAAATCTTCTAATGAACTTGGATTAGAAACAGAGTGTTCTAAATAATTTATAAAAATCAAGAGTTTCCGAAATTTAAAATCTTTTCTTAAAATGGTATAATTTGGTCTTTTGATAAACTTAAAGGGACTGTTGGCAGAATTTCAAATGAACCTGGATTTAAAGATGGCAATGTCTGATTCTAAACGGTACCCTTAAAGCTTTGTTATACTCAAGTAAGAATAAGATATAACCAATGTTATTTATGTAAAAACCGAGTATTCTCAACTGCAGTTTCTCTACAAAACTGACCTGCGCATTTCTTCTGCAGGAAAACATATAGGATCATTATCAAAATTTAACACTTTTAAACTCAGAAAAAAACGACAATATCTTCAACATTATTTTAAAAAAAACGTTTCATGAGTACCGTTGTTAATCGGGCATTCTCATCTTTGCATGAAAGTTTACTTGAAATTACAATTTCAGTACCTATGAAGCGAATAAACATAAAAACCTTCTTAAACATTTAATCATTCCAGGTTCAATTTAAAATTAATTTCAATTTTTCATCAAGATAAAAAATGTTACATTTTGCTTAATGGATAGATGCAGTGATGCAGCAGATAAACTATATCTATATGTGCAATTTACACTGTACAGGGTGTCAAGTGTACATTTATCTTTTTTATCATTAAAACGATCCTAAAACTAAAAAGAACGTATAGAAATAAATCTTCACTTTCGTAGTAACAAAATGTGTACTGTGCAGTAAGTCTACATTATAAATTCTACCAAACGGTATCTAGAATTGATAAGGGGTTAAATCTCAAAATAGACTATGTACAGAAGCTTTGAAATCATTTACAGAAAAAAAATCACCTATGTACATAACTCATTTCAGCCAGGTACTGCATACCGTACGCTATTCCCCGCATCATACCGACCTAGTATACATAAAATTATCAGTGAGAGTACAGTGTGCATGTGTACATGAATATTGTCGATACATAATGTACTCAGATGTACGATAGATGAAGATACTTGTGGAAAACATCAAATTTTATTTTTCTAATCGTTATGTCTTTGAAACCTGATGGTTTTAAGAGTAGAAAAAAACTTACCAATTGCATAACTTGAAATTTCCCATCGTTAGCTCGAAGGAAAGTATCCAGGGAACCGTTCTCCATATACTCAGTGATAATCATTACTGGGGTTGCTTTAGTTACTACTCCCTAAAATCATAATTAATTTGTTATATTTTTCTTTTAATTAAAAATTATCATTGTATATTATTATCAAGGGGGCCTGAAGATCAGATTAATCTGCAGATTAACTAAAGATCAAGTACATGAATTGATCTCGATATCCACAATACAAGAGTTTCCCCCCGCAGCAAAGATATTAAAAAGTAACTTAATTGTCTAGTCTATTTTTGATAATATGCTTATAAATATGTGGTGCTAAAAAATGGCGTTTTTTATGAGCTATACTTTTGGTGATATTATTAATAGCGCAGTTTTCTCCGGCCCACGTCTTTTGAAGCATTTCCAATTTGTTCATATAATTACATTTTTTACTACGGTTGAACTGAAAATAACATCTTTAACGAACCAATCAAAGAAATAATTATCAACGTGACGAGAATCTAATTCAAAGTGACTTTTTTATATCTATGAGGGACCTCTCAGTAAAAAAGGGAAATACTCGATCTACAGCAAATTGGAAAAAATTAGCTTTGTAATCACTAACTTTAAGGTCTAAACAATGTAAATTTCGTTTGGTTGAATTTATTTTATAAAAAAACGGCTGTTTTGTCCTTACTGTCTACAGTAAAGATAACTAAACAAAAATAAACAGCTCTAAACAGTTTTTTAAAGTTTATTTTGTTTTAACACATGATCTTTTTATTTTACAAAAAAGAAAAGGGTGCAATCAAAATAATTATTTTTTTTAATTTCTAGCAGACGATATATTCCAAGTAGAAATCACTGCTCACAATACTAACTCAAAAAATATGGAAAAAGACGATTTTGAAGTCGTCACTCTTTTCTCCTGTTCATTGGGACAAACTGTAGTTGTTTCCTACAACTTGTCCCTCTTTTCTCCTGTACATTGGGACAAACTGTAGTTGTTTCCTACAACTTGTCCATCTTTTCTCCTGTTTATTGGGACAAACTGTAGTTGTTTCCTACCACTTGTCCTCTTTTCTCCAGTTTATTGGGACAAACTGTATTTGTTTCCTACCACTTGTCCCTCTTTTCTCCTGTTCATTGGGACAAACTGTAGTTGTTTCCTACCACTTGTCCTCTTTTCTCCTGTTTATTGGGACAACTGTAGTTGTTTCCTACAACTTGTCCCTCTTTTCTCCTGTTTATTGGGACAAACTGTAGTTGTTTCCTACCACTTGTCCTCTTTTCTCCTGTTTATTGGGACAACTGTAGTTGTTTCCTACAACTTGTCCCTCTTTTCTCCTGGTTATTGGGACAAACTGTAATTGTTTCCTACAACTTGTCCCTCTTTTCTCCTGTTCATTGGGACAAACTGTAATTGTTTCCTACAACTTTTCCCTCTTTTCTCCTGTTTATTGGGACAAACTGTAATTGTCGCCTTTTCAAAACAAAATTTGCCGGTTTTCTCAAAAGATGTTTTCAGACTCAACCCTCATCAGGGACAATTTATTGACATAATGTAATGTTTTCAAAAAGTAAAAAAATTCACGTGATTAATTTTCTTGAAGATGTTACCTGTAAAAATATGACATTAGGATGTTCGAACTGTCCCATGATACTGGCTTCTGTTAGGAAATCAGATCTTGCCTTCTCACTCGATCCAGGCTTCAGGGTCTTTATTGCAACACTAAATAGTTAATATTAAAATAACTATTGTTTACACTATTTGTTTGGTTCCCAGTCTTATTAAGTTTTTGGACAGAAATTTTCTCTTTATCGAAAAGGCTTGAACCTTCGAAATATAGATATAATTTCAGACCAAAAACTTTATATCAGAATATTAGTGTTATAGGTAATTTCATGAAAGTTTGTGTATTCATCATTTTTCAATGGCTATTTCTGGATAAAATAAGTTTTGTAACAAAGCAGACGTAAAATGTAATGTAAAGTAAATTTCAATTTTATTTTCATTTCAATTGAGAAAAAATATTTTGAAAATATCGAAATATTTTGAAGAAAATCCGGGAACCAATCAAACCTTTATAGCACACGTCCTATAATGCACAGCAATTTATCTTTATAGCGGGATGATTACTGTATTGCACGGTGCATTAATATACGGCTAATTTAACTTTAAAGCACGATGATTACCGTATAGCACGTTCATAATGAAATTGACGATGAAGTGAGTAAGAATGATTAAGTACACAATAGTTTTATAAAACCAATATTGCACTTGTATAGGGACTGTAAGCGTATAGCACGTTCATAATGAAATTGACGATGAAGTGAGTAAGAATGATAAAGTACACAATAGTTTCATAAAAACAATATTGCACTTGTATAGGGACTGTAATGAAATTGACGATGAAGTGAGTAAGAATGATAAAGTACACAATAGTTTTATAAAACCAATATTGCACTTGTATGGGGACTGTAAGCGTAACTATCCCTTCAATCAAATCTTCCACCCTATTGATGTAATAAATGTTTCAAAGGTACTGTTGAAATCAGGCATTCTAATATATTTCTAAGAAGCTTCACAAAATATGAAATGTAAATCCAATCTCAAAATTGCATGCTGGACAAGTTTGCTTTTAATATATTAAGCAACATTTGTACTCTGATTGAAGATATTAATCCAAAACGAAAAAAATCCTTTTTAATTATGACAAATCGTTCTGATCAGAGAAAAAAATTACATAATGTAAAATCAAAATTATCACAAATACAAGTCAAAAACCCTTTAATGTCTCAAAAAAATCAAATATTAGGAAAAATGTTCAGTTTGTGCGTGTGACAAATTCGTTCAGTTACTTATTTCTGCAAGAAAAAGGGCAGGTAGATTATCAATGATAAAAATCAGGGGGTTGGGGGCATAAATAAAATATTTTTAAATTTGAAAAGTAATCGTGTTGAATCCTGCTTCAAATTCTAGCTTGTATATATATAAAGGTCTCGAGTATCTTTAATAAGTACTACGGTTTATACAATCGTTTATTACTAAGCGATAATGACTTCATATAAATAAATCTTGAAAAATATGTAAATGAAACCTCAAATATTTAATCTTTTGAATAAATACTTTCATTACTATTTTATAACCAAACTTTACATTTTACAAACTATGTCTGAGATTTTAAACCAAAATTTTTAATTATTAAAAAAAACTTAATTTAGAGGATTTTTATTAGATATATTAAAATATGTTGCATTGCGACCCATCTAACTGTGGAATATTAAAATATGCTGCATTGGGACCCATCAAACTGTGGGATATTGAAATATGCTGCATTGGGACCCATCTAACTGTGGAATATTGAAATATGCTGCATTGGGACCCATCTAACTGTGGAATATTGAAATATGCTGCATTTGGAATCCATAACACTGTGGAATATTAAAATATGCTGCATTGGGACCCGTAACACTGTGGGATATTAAAATATGCTGCAATGGGACCCATAACACTGTGGGATATTAAAATATGCTGCATTGGGACCCATAACACTGTGGGATATTAAAATATGCTGCATTGGGACACATAACACTGTGGGTTATTAAAATATGCTGGACAGTGGGGTCCTTCTTACAATGAAATGACTCTCCAATAGATATAAAGCTTTATTAATAAAAAAATACCCCTCTCTTCGAAATATTTTTTCTCTTTAAGGGTAGAAAATGGGGAAAATAAACGATTTTAAGTAACAAAGTATCAAACACGAAGGAATATTTGCCTTAAAATGTTAAATTTTACATTTACCAACTATAAATAATCGCCCCCCCCCCCTACACTGTTGCAAATTTTGCAAATAAGGGGGGATAAATTCATTAAACTTAGTCGAGTGTACACTCAGGTATTTGAGAAAAGAATTTCGAAAATATTCTTTTGTAATATTAATTTTTAACTACCGACTCCATGGGCTAAGAGAAAGTGTTTAAAGCGTAGAACAAATTAGCGGAGACTTTTTGAAAGAACAGGAAGAGTCAAACTTGTTTTTCATCCTTTCTTGCTCAGTAAAGGATCGCTAAATAATATAAAAAGGACTGTAAGCGTATTTTTTAGCTACTTTCTATACAAAGATGGCAATGTCCGATTAAAACTATATCATTGAAACCTTATTCTGAAAACAAAAATGTAAAAGAATTCACTTGAAAATAAGCAAAATTTGGACCCGATTGGTTCAGCTGTTTTAATGATTATTGGATTCAAACAAACAAGCCAAGTATATACATAGATTATGTTTAGTTAACTTACAGCATATCCTGCCTCTCTCCTTGCTGAAGACGACCTCTGCAAACATCTCCAAACTCTCCTCCTCCAATTATCGCCTCTATAGTGATGTATCGTGGATCTAACTCCTTAGCAAACTGACGGACAGCCTAGATTGTTAAAAGTATAAATTTTACACAATGTTTAAAGGGACTGTAAGCGTAATTTTAAGTGACCCTGAATGCAAGATGACAATGTCCGATTTATGGAGGGTCAGTTAAAATTATGAAATTATTATGTGATGTATCTTAGATCAAACTCCTTGGCAAACTGACATACAGCCTAAACAGTCAAAGGATTTTTTTTATATATTTCCCCAAAATCTAAAAAAGAAAAAGTTACATACTTATTGTTAGCACATTAAAAAAACTTGTGGAAAAAATAAAAAATTGGACATAAAGAAGCAAGCTTTCTTATTCTTTTTCATAAGAAACAAAATTCTATTTTCTTCGAGGGAAAATGATTTTGTAAAGGGGAAAAATTAATTAATTTTTAGAAAAAAAAATACTTTATTTGAACACTATATTTGCTGTATAAATGAATAACCCTGTATAAACATTTTGCATAACCCAATATAAATCTACTGTATAATCCTTTATAAATGTACTAGATAACCCTGTATAATGTACTGGATAACCCTGTATAAATGTACTGGATAACCCTGTATAATGTACTAGATAATCCTGTATGAATGTACTGGATAACCCTGTATGAATGTAATAGATAACCCTCTATGAATGTACTGTATAACCCTGTATAATGTACTGGATAACCCTGTATGAATGTACTGGATAATCCTTTATAAATGTACTAGATAACCCTGTATGAATGTACTGGATAACCTTGTATGAATGTACTGGATAATCCTGTATGAATGTACTAGATAACCCTGTATGAATGTACTGGATAACCCTGTATGAATTACTAGATAATCCTGTATGAATCTACTGTATAATCCTGTATAAATGTACTGTATAACCCTGTATAATGTACTGGATAACCCTGTATAAATGTATTGTATAACCCTGTGTGAATGTACCGGATAACCCTCTATGAATGTACTGTATAACCCTGTATGAATGTACTGTATAACCCTGTATAAATGTAGTGGATAACCCTGTATGAATGTACTGTATAACCCTGTATGAATGTACTGTATAACCCTGTATAAATGTAGTGGATAACCCTGTATGAATGTACTGGATAACCCTGTATGAATGTACTGTATAACCCTGTATGAATGTACTGTATAACCATGGATTTATAATAGATGGATATATCATAGTCAAGGTTTGATGTAATTTTTTCGCTGGGGTGTTATGCAGTACGTTATACATTGGACCCTGGAACTTACAATTTGTCTTTGGTCTTCGTAAAGTTAATAGATGTCAAATGAGCATAGAAAAACATTGTAAGTCTTTAAAACTTTAAGATTTAGCCTCCGTTATTTGTATTTTAAAAATTGAATTAGAGATACTAAAGATTTAAACAACCTTGCTGATATATAATATTTTGAATTTTAAACAAAATTCTCAATATCTTGGTCAATTCTTAAGGTACAAAAACGGCAGACCACTTTTTGGAATTCTGAAATTAAGGCGCCTTTGATGAAGAAAATGCTATGATCACAATATTTTAGCTATAGTATCTCATTTCTGCTTACTCCAGAGTCCAGGGCCCACTATCTACCAAAGTTCTTCTCTAATTTGGACCCTGAACTTCACTTCAAACTTTTTTAAAAGTACAAATTATTTTTATAGAATGAACAATAGCCAGAATAAAAATTTGTTATAGTAAAACCTAAAGTTTGCTATGCAGAGGTTTTAGAAATTTCCTAAAAATATCTAGGGTCCACCCAGAATAGTATAGATCGGTAAATAGAAGCATACATATATGCGGGCCGTGTGTATAACCCTGTATAAATGTACTGGATAACCCTGTATAATTTACTAGATAACCCTGTATGAACATATTGCATAACCCAATATAAACATACTGTATAATCATTAATCCTGTATGAATATTTCACGAATGGGGTTAGGCCGTTTTGTGAATATCAATACTTTTGTTATGAAATATTATTATATTCAGCTTGATTATAGTCTCCATTTTTTTCGAATCTCTTAAATCAGAATCTACAAAAATGTTAAGACCCCAAAAAAGAAACTCGGGAGTTTTGTCTAACGATAACTGTATAACCCTTAATAAATGTACTGTGTAGTGTACTGTATAACCTGGTGTGGATCCTCGTATGTATGGGGATCTATGTAGGTTTTATGAGTTGCAAATGTATTGAAGAGGGGTAGAGTTCCGGCAGTGTGAGTGTGCACAATACCTAGAGACAAATCAATCAATTAATCAATAAAAGGGACTGCAAGCGAACTTTCCAGCGACGGTGACCCTCCGTAAAATGATGACAACCGCCAATGCCGAATTCACATTGATACCTTTGAAACTTTTGTCTGATCAATAATGAAATTTTTTTGTCATTTTTCTAGAGTTAGCTCATAAGGTCTCCTGCAGTAAGATCGCAAGTCTCTTTTTTAAACATTAAAAATAAATAAATAATCAATTTTTAAAATTATAAACATTGATACTTTTTCATACTTGAGCAGACAAAGCTTTAAAGGGGAACATGGTGAACCGGTTTATTGACATTACGAATATAGTTCTTTAAAATCAATTTAATCAATATTTCGAACAAGTCAATCAATCAAATCAAATAAATCCATAGAATTCATTAAATCGATTAGATCAGTTAAATCAAAATGAACAATCATAACAATAAGAAAAAGTAAAGAAAAGTAAGCCATCAAATTTATCAAAATTTTTATGCAAACAAAATAATTCATATCAATTCAAAACAAAAAACAAAAACAAATTTAACAATAACTTAATCATTTCAATTAAATTACAAGAAACAACAACATATTCAACCCAAATAACACTTTCAATTTCAGATTAATTTCATATTAATTTAAATTGTGGATTAATTTTAAATCAATTTTAAGTTTGAATCAAAATCATATCAAATTGAATTTTGAATAAATTTTAAATCAATTTTAAATTCGGATAAATTTCAAATCAATTTTAGTTTTGGATCAATATCAAATCAAAAATATTTCAGTTCAATTTCAAATATATTTAATTTTTTATCAATATCAAATCAAATTGAATTTCGCATTAATTTCAAATCAATTTTAATTTTGGATCAATTTCAAATCAATTTTAGTTTTGGATCAATATAAACTCAAATTTATTTTCGCATCAATATAAAATTAATATTAATTTCGGTATCAATATATCCTGAAATCTTAAATAAATAAAACATACCATGTCCGCCGTCAACGGAGTAATGCGGAGATACACCACGGAACTCAAGAGTATCATTATCCCCCACCTTAACAGGTTTAGAGTAATAATAATAATGACAATAGTGATGACAATGACAATGCCAATGCCAATCCGAATCCGAATCCGAATCCGAATCCGAATCCAAATCCAAATCCGAATACGAATACGAATCCGAATCCGAATACGAATACGAATACGAATACGAATACGAATACGAATACGAATAAGAATAGGAATAAGAAAATAATAAGTATAAAATAGTAATAATAATAATAATGATAATAATAACGTTGGAAGGTTTACGATGAACATTAAAATTGGAACGTCTACGTTGAAACGCTTACGTTGGAACGTTAACCGTTTGTTAACGGTGAAATAAAAGTAATCTTTAAATCAATTTAAAAACATGTAAAAATCTCAGTTTTATTAAGTCTCCTGGAAGCCTAATCATCATGTATGTTTTAGAACAGTTAAATCTAATAATTTAAAGTGTTTGAGTTACATGCCAAATTAGCACTTAGATTCTATTTTGCTAAGAAGTCAATTCTGCCAATTTGATTCAGCAGAGAAGTCGCAATTGATATACAATATATCTACAATAGTTTTGCTCAAACATTTTATTGTATTATATAAAACAACAATTATTCATTAAAAATCTATTAACAAAATGACTAACTTACCAGGAAAAACCCAATTTTCTATTTTCCCCATATACATATATAAAATTCAATCATGTCAAATTAATTATTATAAATCATAAAATTGTTATAATTAAAAAAAATTTTCATTCTAGAATATAGCTTTAGTAAAATAACATAAATTAACTTTTAATAATATTGTGGAGAATTTCTTTAGAATCATTTGTGACCTAGGAGACTTTTTATGGCGCAAATTCAATCATTAAAATTCTCATAGATTGTTCATAATCATTTAAAAGGAATGATTTTGAGAATCGGTTTTTAAAAAATCATTCAAGAACGGTGACAAAAAATGTAGTAAAAAGTTAGCTATTTAGTTCAAACATTTTCTTAGATTTCCTAGAATTTTTATTGAAAAGACGACATTTAAAGAATTTGAACAAATTCATAGAGAATAAGAAATTCTCAGTTTGGTAATATAAACCCACGATTTTTTCAAAAACAATCCGTCTACGTTCGACAGCGAATCATGGCTTTGTAATGTATTATTCATAAACTGTTTCTGAATCAAAATTGAACAGAAAAAAGTTCAAAGAATATTATTCTTTTTGAGAATAAGAAGATAAACATTTTGTGAATATTAATATTTTTCACAGAACGTCATTCTTCCTACACACAATTCTTGAAAAATAATTAATTTGGATTCTCCCATGAAAAGCTTTGTTGGGGAGTAAATTAGAAAAGGCAAATCAAATGAAAATCATACCCGTACTGTATAACCCTGTATGAATGTACTGGATAACCCTGGATGAATGAGGGATATTAAAATATGCTGCATTGGGACCCATAACACTGTGGGATATTAAAATATGCTGCAATGGGACCCATAACACTGTGGGATATTAAAATATGCTGCATTGGGACCCATAACACTGTGGGATAACAAATAGATTATCAGGTACAATAGGTGGCAACAGAGAAATTAACCAATTATACACGACGTCATAAGTGTCAAATATAACAAGGAAAATGAAATTTTCTCAAATTAGTTGACATGTTTTCCAAGATTAAGTACAACAGTGTAAAGACAGAAAATGAAGAACAAATATAATTGCACTTATCTAACCGTTAGATAAGCCGTTAGATAAGCACTTTATTCTACAATAATCCCTATTATTGATGATTTTGTCGGACACAAAAACTGAATTGACTCTTGTGACGACAGAATACAACTGTACTGAGATTGTATCTATTTGGCATAAGGCTAAAATTGATAAAAACAACATTAAAAGAAAAAATTCATAAAAGTATTAAAATATTTAGAGCGGCCAATGACATGTCGGAAGTACAATAATGTCTTATAAACCTAATAACGACAGTGAAAAATATCTAAGTTTTTCTACCTTGAAAGTTTTTGATTCAGAAAAGGCTTTTAAGGGAACCATTGTGAATCGGAATGCTACTTTTATACCTGTTTCTTGACCCAGTCGTCTGACCCTTTCCTGAGATAGATTGTCACCATGATCGTCACCATCGTCAGCAGAATCAATCCTAGGAGTTCATATTTTAGAGAATGATTTTAGAAGATTTTTTTTGGAAAATTCATTTTATTTTCACCGTTCCCCAGAGATGTTCATTTTTCAGAAATACCGGGGGGGGGGGGGAAAATTATTATTTTTTGGGGGGGGGGGAAGGAAAAATTAGACTTCAAAAGGTAAGTTTTTCATTCTTTTTGATACTATTCACCCAAAAATTGACTTATTTTCCCCAATTTAGCTAATAATGGGGGCTCCGCGGAGCATGTATCAATTGTGGGAAAAAATAAAATTCGAATGCCTTTTCAAGAAAATATACACTCTTCCAACTCCTTAAAAACATTCATGGAAAAAAATATTGTTAAATGGTTGAATTGTTATCACACTTTACCTGCAACTACAGCTCCAACAATAGCAGGGGTTCCAGTTCCTTCGGGAACAGGGAATGACTCAGGATCACTTGCTCCCGTCATCTGATCAACATCAACATCAACATCAACATCAACATCAACATCAACATCAACATCAACATCAACATCAACATCAACATCAACATCAACATCAACATCAACATCATCAACATCAACATCAATATCAACACTTTTGTAATCATCTACCTGGTAAACTGCAGGTGTGAATTCTCCCCATTTCTGACTTGTCTTCGCTCGAACCTTAAAAGAAAATGATTTAAAAAAATGTTCTTTTATGAAATGTTGATTTGGTCAAAACAATTTGGTAAAAAATGGACTTGGATCATAGCTTAGCTGACAGGTTTTGGCCTCCTGATGCCCAGATTGTATTTGTTAAAACCAACTTAAAATTTCCTTAAGAACACTGAGGGGGAATTAGTGCCAAGAAAAGTAATAATTAGTCCCTTGAAAATAAATAATAACCTTAATGCAGACTTTGACACTGAAAGATTTTGTAAAGGGAGGGTTTAAAAGTGCAAACCTATTTCATTCCTAATTGGGTCTACCCTTCTCAATTAATCCACAGTTAAGTTTAAATATTAAGAGATATCGTAAGAATTTATAAAATGTCGTATTCTTAACTTTCTAAAAAGGAATGCTGCAGATACTTAGGTAAGTTAATTATATTATATGAAGCTCTGTAAAATTAAATATATGCACAATGATTGAAATAAATCTTCTTTTTTTCCAGAAAAAAATGTAGTCAATCTAATTAGTGAATATATAATAAAGGTGTCCACCATAAATTGAGACTTCAGAAAAAAAAACGCTTTTACTCCTTTGGTTTTTTACACTGGGTTATTGATATTTAACTTAGGACATATTTCATGAGAAACACCAGCTCCAAAATAGTATTCTTTCCAGTAAGGTTCTTAACTTTCAGAGGAAAGTATGAATTATAATTGGCATGTTAGTTCTTGATGTAGAACATACCAAAAAACATTTTCATCTACTCCTCTTTCAGTTCATGTCCTTAATCTTCTTTATAATGAATATTCTACTAAACACTGGAACTAATTGGTTCCCAGGGCACAGGTGGCTGATCATAGCGGATTTTTCATATTGGTGGATTTGCTATTTTATAAGCTGTTTAAAAAGTCTCAATTTTGAGTATAAATCAGGTGAAAGCTGAAAAGTGGTAAAGGAAGTCTTTTGTTTACTAGAGTTTGTTAATGCCAGAAAGGATTGGGAAATTTATATCAAACCCAGCTAAAACCCATAATTTGATAAACATCATGAATGGGGTTGTACAATGTACATTTTCTATGGGAGAGTGAAAAAAGTCGGCGCGCTACGCGCATAAACCGTTAAAATACACCCCCACCCCCCTAGAAAATTCTTATTTACGCCCCTCAACCCAATTATTGGGTCCATAGAATAGAAAACTTTAAACACCGCAGTAGACAAAAATATTTATTTGATTAAAATCTATTCCCTAATTATCTGCCATTTGCAGTTAATTACAAGCTGAGAACTCAATACAATCATAATGAGGATTAAATGAGAGAAATAATTCAGTTTTATCAAGAAAAAGTAATTACATTTTTAAGCAATGATTTTTTAGGTGAGGTTTTTTTTTTGGGGGGGGGCCCAAATTTGGCAAAATGAATCGAGGGAAAATTAATACATTTTTAGAGGAAAATATCAAAAGGGATAAAAAAAACTTACTTCAAAATTTTAATTTTAATTTGTTTGCCCCCGAACTCAAAAAGGGTGAAATATTGCAAGTTGACATCCAATTTTACATTTCTTTTTTTTTTGGGGAGGGGGGGGGGGTGTCGGGCTCACCTGGAATCCGTATTCAGTTTTCTCCTCCAAGTTAGATATTTCTATCTCTTCATTACGCGTAGTTAGAGTCACATTTTCAGTATCCAAACCGCGGACGAAGTATCGAACCTGAAGAATATTTTTTGATCTAGAAAATACCGTATCTCTAGCATTGTAGATATCGATATCAATGATCGAGCTTTTCTCAATCTGCAGATTAGATTCTGCTTGAAAATTGATATGAATTTGAGTGATTGTTCCAAAAACGCGACATGAGCTTAAATGCGGTAATTGTTTCAAAATAGAGATTTGTTCGAAAAAGAAAACAGGTATCATCAAAAACTAATTCTCACACCTTATTATTAGTTTAAAGTTAAAATTTACACATTCAATAAATAGTTTTAGCCATTTTTAATTAATATATTGTGTATTTTTGTTCAATGTTAGAAGTGGGCCAAGTGTTAGTTTTGGAACTAAGTACCCCTGAAGTACACAATCTAAACGGTACAAAAGTGTTCGGTACATACCTCGTACATCTGAATCTCAATATACTGGTCGTGAGGTGGTCTCCAACCAAGATGAATAGAAGACGACCTCACGTTCTTGATGAACAGGGCAGGAACCGTTCTGATAGAAAATTTTTCAACAAACTGTTAAAATATTACTTTGTTTTAATACGCAAAAATAGCAAAAAAAAGCAATAATAATAATAGTAGCAGTTTTTGCATTAGTTGCAAGCAACAGTAGAAAAAAAGAGTAGCTATAATGCCAAATTTTGGGCAATTATATCAATATTAGGATTATTAGCAATAATTAGCAATTTTATCCATATACTTGCACTAAAGATATTTAAATTAAACATTCCATGAAAATAAATTATTTCATGTTTCTAATTTTCTTATCGATGATGACTGAAGGGTTACCAACAAAGGATAAGACTGTAAAGACTTTGTAAGACTTTGATGTCTCATTCTTTGATCCTCATTATTAAGGTCTCACTGTATCAGGATTTTAGAATTGTTGAATAAATGCCTTGGATCTGAACTCTCAGTGTTGACAGTGATTTCAGCGAACTTTGGGCTGTCACGTGCAACCTTGGAAAGTTATGTTAAATATTACACAAATATAAAAATTACATAATTTATATTTTCTTGAAAAATGACCCCCCTTTTCAAAAACAGTCTTCAAAATCTACACCCCATAAAAATCAGTCTTCAAAATCTACACCCCATTAAAATCAGTCTTCAGAATCTACACCCCATGAAAATCAGTCTTGAGAATCTACACCCCATAAAAATCTGTCTTCAAAATCTACACCCCTTAAAAATCAGTCTTCAGAATCTACACCCCATGAAAATCAGTCTTTAGAATCTACACCCCATGAAAATCAGTCTTCAAAATCTACACCCCAAGAAAATCAGTCTTCAAAATCTACACCCCATGAAAATCAGTCTTCAAAATCTACACCCCATGAAAATCAGCCTTCAAAATCCACACCCCATGAAAATCAGTCTTCAAAATCTACACCCCATGAAAATCAGTCTTCAAAATCTACACCCCATGAAAATCAGTCTTCAAAATCTAAACCCCATGAAATTCAGCCTTCAAAATCTAAACCCCATGAAATTCAGTCTTTAAAATCTACACCCCATGAAAATCAGCCTTTAAAATCTACACCCCATGAAAATCAGCCTTTAAAATCTACACCCCATGAAAATCAGTCTTCAGAATCTACACCCCATTAAATCAATCTGACATTTTTTACCTTTGAAACTCCGTTTTCACTAAAGATCTTGAACTTGTAGCTTGTCATGGAACTCAGTCCCTGGATCTGAAAATAATCAGTTTTAAACAGTGTCTAGGATACATTTAATTTTGATGCAGATCCGAATCCTGGATCCACGTAGAAAACAAATGTTTAGAAACATTTTTTAAGATTCACTGATTTTTTAACAAAAGAATATATTTCAAATATTTTCCATTAATTTTAGGGGAAAAATTATCTCCCGGGGGAGGGGAAGGGGTATACTGAACAGTGAACTTCATAAGGAAAGTTTTTCGTCTATTTTGATGCTTTATACACAACATTTTATTTGATTTCCCCTGAAAAAAAGAAGAAAAATAATTTGAAACTTCATTTTTGTTGAACAACAGTAAAGTAATTCTTAAAAAATATACACCCCTGACAACCAACTAATAGTTCGCAATAAAAATATCTCCTACACTTTTCTCCTTACCCTGAGATATGTACTGGAAATAGTTTCACTTGCAGGACTGAAGGAAACTCCAGGTCCACAATTTTTACACTCAACCCTGAAAAAAAGGTGAGTAGAGGATATGAAACAGCAAGAGGAACTAAGGTCGAAAGAAAGAAAAAACAAATGAAAACTGGTAACACGTCAAAGAATGAATTTAAGAAAACGAAAAAAAGCTGAATTAAAAAAAGTAGATGTCATTAAAAAAACAGGAAACCCATCTTTCAAGTTATTCATATGTACATGCATTTAATTTGCTTTTTTTCCCCTAATAAAAGAATAACACGAAACTTCTAATGCAGATTTATTAAGTTAACCACTGTATCTCTTTAGGGGTCCTTGGAGTAATTCTAAAACTAAACCATAGCTTATCCCTTTAAAAGCTGGGGGTCTGAATCTATGAATAGCCTGGAGCCCCCTAGAAAAATGTGTTAGATAATAGGTACAGGGTTGAAATGCATGTTCATAGCCCAATTATTCAAGGCCAGCTCATTGAAAAAAAAATTAGATCGATAACTATATCAGTTTGGGTGCTAGGGAAGGTTAAAAAAATGCAAAAGTGTTTAAAAATTGTAATTTTAAACAAATAATTAAGTGTGACATGTTTTTACATATATATTATTTAAGGACTTCACAAAAGTATAGTTTTAGATCTGTAGCTTTAGTCACAAAAAAGTTTGGGGCTATTTTACATTTTTTGTTTACACAGACCGGACTTTTTAGGCCCTGTAAGTTTCACGGTGAGAGAAGTGCTAGAACAAAAAAAACAGAGAGAGGGGGGGGCGTTTGGGCCTGTTTATGGTTGACAGTGATTGAGTTTTAAATTACTAGAAGTTCTCCACGAGATGTTTCAGATTAAGCCCTCAATGAGCAAATAAACTGTCAATAATTAAAAATAATGTTTACGGTTAAAACACTGAGGAAAGGTGACCGCCTCAGCGTTAAAATCACAGGTTTAAGATACAAGTTTTGCCTAAGGAAAAATAAACAGAACTGTAAGCGTAGTTTCATGTGACCCTCTATGCGAAGATGGCAATGTCCGAATCACACCAGTACCTTAGTAGCTTTATCTACTTCAGTATGAATCAGATATCATTCTTTATAATACGGAAAACTGATTATTTTCGCTGGTGTTTTCTCTACAATTTTGCGCATTTTTAATGCAGGAAAACATGTAGGAATTATTAGAAAGAAACACTTTTCACCGTAGAAAAACGACAATATCTTCCACATTATTGATCAGGTAAAGGTTTCAAAGGCAATAACATTATTGCTTTGAAGTTCACTTATAATTACGCTAAGTGTCAATTTCATACCTATAAACAGTATCCTGTCTACCCCCCTGGTCCCTGGGAGGCTGCCAGGCGAGGGTGAGGCTGGTGGTGTCCATGAGGGCGAGTGTGAGGTTGCGAGGGGGTGAGGGAGGGGAGGTGCAAGGAGCTGAGGTAGAATCAGAACTAGATCTGTAGAAACCCTGGTTACAACTACAAAAAAAAACAGTATTTTAATTATAATATTTAATCAGGGTTTATATGTTTAAGTAATTCTCACCCCCCCCCCCCCCCCCCCCCCCCCCCCACCCCCTCCCTTGAACTAGCATGATTTCCCAAATTTTTTTGATTCTTCCAAAAATGTATTTATTTTCCCAAATAAACCCTAACACATACCAAACACACCTTTGGACAAAAACATAATATTTAAAGAAAATATATTTTAATGATTGAAAAGGTTTCAGATGACTTGATGTGAAAAGAGTATAAAAATATCTACAAATTGGAGTGAAATTTTTCATTATTTCCCACCCTCAGACCTGCAGTAGAGAGAACCACTATGTACAGCAGTACTATGTGGAGGACAGATGTCACACACAGATTCTCCAGCTGTTGATTTATATCTCCCCACATCACATTGTCTACACTCCTGAACCTGTACCCCACTCCTATAGTAGAAATATTAGGAAACATTATGTAATTTTTACCTTCTGTTTCTCTGTTTTGTCTATGTTTTGGTATCTGTTAGGTGTCTGTTTAGTATCTGTTTGGTCTCCATTTCGTCTCTGTTTCACTTTCGTTTAGTCTTCATTTCGTCTTCTCGTTTCATCTCCGTTTTGTCTCTGTTTGTCTCCCTTTCGTCTCCTTTTCGTCTCCGCTTTGTCTTCCGTTTTGTCTCCCATTTTAACTCCGTTTTATCTCCGTTTTGTCTCAGTTTACTCACGCTTGGTCTCTGTTTGGTCGCTGTTTGGTCTCTGTTTGGTCTCTGTTTGGTCTCTGTTTGGTCTCTGTTTGGTCTCTGTTTGGTCTCTGTTTGGTCTCTGTTTGGTGTCTTTTTGGTCTCTGTTTGGTCTCTATTTGGTCTCTATTTGGTCTCTATTTGGTCTCTATTTGGTCTCTGTTTGGTCTTTGTTACGTCTCAATGCCCTTGTTATGTCTCTGTTAACATTTAATTATATCTTCACTAACCTGTAGGGTTCATGTCCAGCAATACATTGACACCCTCCTTGGCTTGAGAGCCAGGTTCCATCACTCTTACAGTAACTATAGGGAGCTACATCTCCAGGATCAGCATTAGGTACACATACACCCCGGATATTCTCAGTACTAGACTCTGTAATATAGGGTTAAAGATAGTACACATACACCCTGGATATTCTCAGTACTAGACTCTGTAATATAGGGTTAAAGATATATAGTACACATACACCCTGGATATTCTCAGTACTAGACTCTGTAATATAGGGTTAAATATAGGTACACATACACCCTGGATATTCTCAGTACTAGACTCTGTAATATAGGGTTAAAGATAGTACACATACACCCTGGATATTCTCAGTACTAGACTCTGTAATGTAGGGTTAAAGATAGTACACATACACCCCGGATATTCTCAGTACTAGACTCTGTAATATAGGGTTAAATATAGGTACACATACACCCTGGATATTTTCGTAATAAATAAAAGAGGTTGCGTGATTGATTTTCAAATTTTTGACATTTTCACAACGTCATAATTCCCCTAGTGAATATTTTCCAGCCTTTAATCATATTTTTGTCAAGTCAATATTTAATTGATTTACAAAACTTAATATTAAGAAATATTGGATGGAAAACCTAATACGATTCACAAATATATCAAGTTTCAAATATTTTTGAATTGTTCCGCTACAATTGACTGCCCCCAACATAAAACATACTTTGTATTAAAAGGTTTTATTTTTGAAAAAAAAATATATATAAAAAAAAATTTTTGTTGAAGAAAAAATCTACCAGATTTTCCGGTGGGTGTTTCAGGAAAAACTGCAAAGCTGTTGATGATTTCCGGACAGCTGATGTAGTAAACCTAAAACACGGAAAATAGAAAAATAAAATTTACTAAGCATGTCATTTGTATCGCCTTTTTAACCACAGAGTAGAGAATATTTTACATAGATTTGAATTGAGTCAAAAGTGTAAAACCGCCATTTTATTGTGTTGTTTCCTTACTGCAGGTGTGCTATATAATCTTTTGAGCCCTGGAAAATTTTCTTGGAAATTATTTCATTTCCTCTAAATCATTTTTCTGACAACCTGTCATTCATTCCTGAGTTTATTTCAGCATAAGCTACGTCGATACAAATCAATTTTTTCAGTAAGTAGAGTTTTTTTTTAAATTTGCGGTAGTCTAACAGTAAAATCAATACGAAAATATGGTCTTGTTTTTTCTGTTGATTAAAATTAAGAATATCGGTATGAACTTAAAAATTCAATAAATCTTAAAATGGCGGTATGGGGATTCCATGTTTGGGATTCATTTCAACGGGATTTTGGCCAANATCAAATCAAATCAAATCAAATCAAATCAAATCAAATCAAATCAAATCAAATCAAATCAAATCAAATCAAATCAAATCAAATCAAATCAAATCAAATCAAATCAAATCAAATCAAATCAAATCAAATCAAATCAAATCAAATCAAATCAAATCAAATCAAATCAAATCAAATCAAATCAAATCAAATCAAATCAAATCAAATCAAATCAAATCAAATCAAATCAAATCAAATCAAATCAAATCAAATCAAATCAAATCAAATCAAATCAAATCAAATCAAATCAAATCAAATCAAATCAAATCAAATCAAATCAAATCAAATCAAATCAAATCAAATCAAATCAAATCAAATCAAATCAAATCAAATCAAATCAAATCAAATCAAATCAAATCAAATCAAATCAAATCAAATCAAATCAAATCAAATCTTTGAAGAGGCAAGAAATGTTTTGTATACTTGTTATGAATTATAAAATTTAAAAATAAAATCTTGTTTCAGGAATTCAAAAATTTAGTTTTTATATTTGTCTGATATTTGCTTTTATCTTCTAGGTATTTAATTGAAAGATTTCTTAAAAGACGTGCTGGAGCAGAACAAATAAAGGAATTTTCTTCTTTACAACACTTTAAAATTAATTTTTAACAAAGAAATTAAGATTAATTGATGTAAATTGTAATTTCGTATTAAATTTGTTAAATTAAATATCAAATTAAATTAAAATAAAACTATGTTAATTTCCTAAAAATTCATCTTAGATGGAAACTTCTTAATGTGTATACATTTCCCCCAGAAGTTATTGCTTTAAGAATTTAAAAAATATACACCACTGTTTAAATTGGGAATAAAAACGTATTTCCTTGTGGATATTAATTATTCACTAAATAGGTTTAAACTTTAAATTTTCGATTAACTAGAATCGTTTCCGAGTTAACAGATCAAATAAATTACAGAGGAAATAACTTGAAGCTATAATTTATTTATTTAAAATATTCACATCAAGTGAATAATTTGCAATTTAAAATTAACACTACAGAAATTCTCAGTTAAAAACAAGTACAGTAAAGTTTAAAATTACTTTTGCCTTTTAAAATTCAACCTATATTATAACACATACTAAATACATTATTGATACAATTCAAAGAAATTGAGAATTGTCACAAACTCAAATGGTCTAATCCCTACATTTTTGCAATCTGATGGTGTAAACATTTCATATTTCAAACTTGGTTTATTTATAGTTTATAATGTTAAAGTCTACGAAATAGGGATTAGAAAATCAGAGTTTGTGGCAAAGACTCAATTCTTTGCCTAGAAGTCGTGAAAATAATTCTTTCGAGGAGGAGGCCCGCTTTTTTCTGTAAAAAGAAATTTTTTTTCTGTCTTACCTCAACAGATCGTGTCTCTGTGTTGATGATGACCTCGTTGTTGTTTTTAAACCGACCTTCGTCTGCAGCAATCCTAGACAAAGGGGAAATGTTAACGAGATAGGCAGCAATCCTAGACAAAGGGGAAATGTTAACGAGATAGGCAGCAATCCTAGGCAAAAGGGAGATGTTAACGAGATCGGAGGCTGCAATCCTAGGCAAAGGGGAGATGTTAATGAGATCGGATGCAGCAATCCTAAACAAAGCAATCTTAGACAAGGGGGAGATGTTAACGAGATCGGATGAAGCAATCCTAGACAAAGGTGAAATGTTAACGTGATCGGAGGCAGCAATCCTAAACAAAGCAATCCTAAACAAAGGGGAGATATTAACGAGATCGGAGGCAGCAATCCTCGACAAAGGGGAGATGTTAACGAGATCGGAGGCAGCAATCCTAGACAAAGGGGAGATGTTAACGAGATCGGAGGCAGCAATCCTAGACAAAGGAGAAATGTTAACGAGATCGGAGGCAGCAATCCTAATCAAAAGGGAGATGTTAACGAGATCGGAGGCTGCAATCCTAGGCAAAGGGGAGATGTTAATGAGATCGGAGGCATCTATCCTAGACAAAGGGGAGATGCTTATAAGATGGGGTTTCTTGGTAGCCAAATAACCCACGATTCAGATTCCAATGGTGGGGGTTCCTTGATAGCTAAATAACCCACCTGTCAATAAGTTTATAAGATTCAGGTTCCCAGGGTGGGGGTTCCCTGATAGCTAAATAACCCACCAGTCAATAAGTTTATAAGATTCAGGTTCCCATGGCGGGGGTTCCCTGGTAGCTAAATAACCCACCAGTCAATAAGTTTATAAGATTCAGGTTCCCATGGTGGGGGTTCCTTGATAGCTAAATAACCCACCTGTCAATAAGTTTATAAGATTCAGGTTCCCATGGTGGGGGTTCCCTGATAGCTAAATAACCCACCTGTCAATAAGTTTATAAGATTCAGGTTCCCATGGTGGGGGTTCCCTGGTAGCTGCATCGAACTCGTAGAAAAGTAAGGAAAATGTTTCTTTACACTAAACTCACACAATAGTCAGATAAGATTCATTAAAACAAAGAGCTTCCAAAGGGAAAAATATGAACCAAAACTCGAAGATTAAAAAACTGTTTGTTTGCTCGTAAACCCCAAATCTGAACTATTGAAAGCAGAAAGATTATTAAAAAAGTCCTTATCTCTAAATGGTTTATCAATTTTGGCATAAAATCAGCAACAAAAAAGGGAGGAAACAATTTGAAAAATGTTTCCTTTAATTCAATCTTTACGACGATTATAAATTAATTAATATTTAAAGTTTTTGTGTACATTGATTGTAAGCTGAAATCAAAGTAACTGGGATGAAAGGTTATGCAAAACTTTTTGTCTGCTACAGAAGAAGTAATTTTGAATTAATGTAATATTGTCTTGCATTCCTTAAAAAGTTAAACCTATCAAAAAAAAAAAAAAAAAAAAAAAAAAATTATAACAGCTGACTGACTGTTTTCCTGGACTGCTCTCCCCGGGAACAGATCACAAGCCCGGATAGAAAACTAAAAAAAAATATGATTTTTTTACTATTTTATTTTTCTGGTCCAATAAACAATTAAAGACTATAATGGATCAAAATGTTTTTACTATTCTGGTCCAAAAAGCAATTAAAGACTATAATGGATCAAAATGTTTTTGCTATTCTGGTCCAATAAGCAATTAGAGACTATAATGGATCAAAATGTTTCCATTATTCTGGTTCAATAAACAATTAAAGACTATAATGGATCAAAATGTTTTTATTATTCTGGTTCAATAAGCAATTAAAGACTATAATGGATCAAAATGTTTTCATTATTCTGGTTCAATAAACATTTAAAGACTATAATGGGTCAAAATGTCTTTAACGTTGAGGCAGAAAAAAGGTTTAACTTTTCTTAAATGTTTAAATTTTCGAAGTTGAGAAATCCAAGTCGACTTTTACTGACCAGATTTGCCTGAATTTTAATCCCAAAAATTGTCCCTGAATACAGCAATATTATTTAAAAATTGCAATATTTAACAACTGAGAGGATAAAAATTAAAGAGGGCAGGGGAATTTTTTCAACAAACAATAACTTCTGCAAGGGTAAATTATTATTTCCTCCCCCTTCCCCTCCCCAATCCGTTTATTTATATTTTCCCCCCAGAAGTTAATGTTTGTTTGCGTGGTGAGAACTTTTTAATTAGGGGCTAAGGGAAAATAAATTCAGTTTTGGGTAACACGTTTACAATAAGAACATGCTGTTCATTTCCAAATTAAATTGCTTCTCCAAAAACATCAAAAAATAGGTGGTAAAGTGTGATTCTTGAAAGGAAAAAAAATGACCTTAATATCAATATAGATCCTGTTTGCCATCCCTCGTTCTATAAAGGGAGTCCACAACCAGTTGTTTACATCAGGGTAGCTCACGTCACACACAACATACGATCTCCAGTTTATTCCCTTTAACACACAAGCTCATAAGTTTTTAGATTTAATATTCGGTGATGGTGATAAACCAAACCAAACCAAACCAAACCAAACCAAACCTCTAATTACAGAAATAAATGAAGATTTTAACATTTTAACATATTTCGGTCTGAATTGACTCTCGTCAGTTCTAACGAAAAAATAACCATCACATAGATAATAAAAAATGTAAAAAAACAACAAGAAAAAGAACAAACAAAAAACATTTTTTTAAATGGGCCGTCAAATGGAAAAAAGGAGACAAAATTAAATCATGAGATGGAAAAAAAGATAATTTGCAAATATTCACTTTTGAGATTGTTTCTGTGATGCAGATTCGAAACAAACTGCTTATATGTATGAGTATAAAGTGGTGGTGGGGGTCGATCTAATTAACGAACTTTAATGTAAATCAGGGAGGGGGGGGGGCGGGCTTGTTAAAAAAGGGAAACATAAACCTTTCAAAGAATTGGACATAAACAATACTCTTTTTTTTAGATACTAAATTACAGTTTTCAATTAAATGAAAACTTATTTTTCGTTCATTTCTCAGAGTTCATAGACCTTAGATTTTTCAAACTAGGAATTATTTTAGATCAAATAATTTAAGTTTAAAATATCAAAGGTTTACACAAACAGGTTGCAATGATATGGAAATTTAAATATTTAGGTTGTGGCAGAGTTTCAATGAATTAAAAAGTAGATAGCCTCCCCATATCTAAATAGATTTCTATTGATGAGAGAAGTCTCCTTTGGTCCATTTACTCACTCGGCCCATAATTGAGTTATGTCCTTCGCAATTGAATTAGATTCCTTAGGTGTTATTTTGAATAACCTTTATTTCTATTACTATTTATTATGAATATTATCAGGGTTGGAATGCAAGGGGAGGTTTAGGAAAGGGGACATAGACCTGCTTTATCATGAAATTGGTTTGGGCTAGAAGGGAGGTGAGAAGATACCCAATTTAATGTGGGAAGGCTTAGCCCCTGGGGGTGGGGTCTTTTCTTTATGCTGCAGTTCTTTTGTAATGCTGATACCAATCCTTTAAACACTGCAATGGTCGCCGACTGGATGTGTTCTAACTATCTATCAGAAGAATCTCACTTGAGACATCTAGCACCAATCTATCGTCCCCCAAAGTATGTCATTAGGACAGCCTCTGGGGAATCTATATTTCTGATAGGAGGGGTGGGGGGTTATGATATTGAAACTGTAATATTTACCTTATCGAAGTTTGTAAAACTCTCCTCCACCCAGCCTGGAGTTGGAGCTTTAGGTCCGTGAGGATATTTGGTCCAATCTAACATCTGCTCCTGAAACAATAAACTTCTATTAAAGGGACTGTACAGGATATTTGATCCAATCTAACATCTGCTCCTGAAACAATAAACTTCTATTAAAGGGACTGTAAACGTTATTTCAAGAGAACACACTGTCCGATTCTCAACAGAACAGAAAGATTGAAGGAAATCGTCATAATGATACACAAGAAAAAAACATTGTTGGTCGAAGAAGATTGTTTGGGTCTTTCCTACTCCTGGTTAATGTTTATTAAAACCCCCCCCCCACCCCCGGATCAAACATCTACTTCTGCAGAAATGCAGAAAAATAGTTCTAATAAAAGGACTCCAGAGTGTTCTCAAGAATCTACAAAACACAACATAACAGAAAGTATGAAGAAATACTTTCCAAACTGGAAGAAAAAAACACATATTTTTGATCAAAACAGGATGAGTTTGATTTTTCTTAGTCCTAGAAACCGATCTTAGAATATTCCCCCCCCCCCCCCATTCAAAAATCTAAGAAAAGCAGGCGCATGGTTTTCAGAAAGTATAAGCTAAATCGAGAAATATATTAATAATTAAGGTTTAGCGATATCTTTCACATTTAAGAAGATAGAGGGTGTTATATTTAATTGCAGGTTTGATCGTTCGAGAGATGAGTAAGGGTGGGGGTTGATCAGATAAAAGATATTGTTCAATAGCCAAATAGATCTAGAAAAGGATAACCAATGTTAAAAAACCGCCACGCCTAAGAAAACATAAGACGTGAGAATAAGAAATAAATTGCTATTTCTCTTTGGAGTAATTTATGCATACAATAGATATGTGTTGTTTTGAATTGATCTGTTACCTTTGTAGAGTCGAGAAGAACATGTTCTCTGCCAATGGCTCCCAAAGGGAACAGAAGTAAAATAATACTTCGCATTATATTTCACAAATACATTTCAAGTTTAAAATAAATGTATTGTCCGCCACAATAGATATGTTTCCTACATCTTACAAATCATTAATATCTGAAATAATAATACAATTTGCTGTGTGGAACACATTTCAATCCGTTGCCCAAAAACCACCCAAATAAACAATAATATGGGGCGCCATTTTGATGCTAAATAAACAAGAGATGAGAAGCGCTCTACAACTATTAGAAAACCAGTTTCAAAGTGATTAGTTGATTACAAATAAAAGGTCGTCTTTTACTGTCACATCAATCGAACTACAACAATCGATAACACTAGCGTTCGTTTGGACTAATATTCATTAAGACTAACGTTTAAAGAACGAAAGTCACAATTAACAGACATTTCACACAGATTTGATGCTCATGAAATATTCAGAGCGTCCCCAAATTAGATTATCTCCAAGCTTTAACGCCAAAATACGCCAAAGTACTCAAAAAACCTAGTATTTTCTGCAAGTAAACTGTTATTAAAACCTTTTACATTTCTTATAAATTATCCATTGATTTTAAATTCTCTGATTATAGTACCTAAAATCACAATTGTGAGCTATACACGATCTAATATAATGTGGGACACTCTGTGAATATTTTTTATTATGTTAGCTCATTTCAGCCTAATGACTTTTGAATTGGTTCATATGCTCTTTTAATTTCAAGAGGGCTAAAATCCGTTTAATTATTTTTAGTGCAGATGTACGTTAGTTCAATTGATATAACATCTTGTGAAAAGATAAAAGTTTCAAGGCTTCAATGCAATCCTGAATCTTAACCAATAGGAAACCAGAAATTTAGATCTAACCAATCACAACATAGAAATTCTCTTGCCCAACTCACACCGTCTTTTTTCTCGCCATTTTCCAATTCCTAGCTGCCCTGAAAAGGCAGCCAATTATTTTCCGTCCTTTTTAGGCCATCACCGAGCTCTTAAAAGCTCTGATCAGGGGTTTCTAACGACCCCCTGATATCCGATCTACAACTCCGTCTCTTAAAACTATTCCCCGTGAAATAAATATTCTAAAAGGACCTCAACAAGTCCTTGTTTCTTCTTGTTTTGGTAATCATGGCTTCTCTGTAAAATGTCTCCCGTTGCAAGCATCACCTTTACTCCTAGTGGAGCAAGGTTCTGTTCAAACCTCGGCACAGGTTAAACATTTGTTTTAATTCCATATATTATATACATAGACATAAATTGATATATATATATTCTTATTTTTGATGTTGTTATGCAATGTTATGCAATCATTTTAGACGAGAAGTGAATTAATTATAAAAGCCTGTCAGATTTGAACGCTTCCAGAGCTTAGAATTGATAAAAAAAATCATTAGATGGGTCTGTCCTAGTGAATGAATTTTGGACCCCCCCTCCCCCCCCCTCCTATCAATTTTGTACATGACCAAATTAGTATTTATTTAGCATTATTTAGGGTTAGGTTAGGTTAAGACACTTTCTGGGCCGAGCGCTGCGGCTAGGATGGGCTAGGGGGCCGAGCGCTGCGGCTAGGACAGGCTAGGGGGCCGAGCGCTGCGGCCACGGGTTAGGTTAAGTTGAGACACTTTCTGTAAGATCCATGTACAAAATTGGTAGGAGGGGGGGGGGTTCCAAAAATCGTTCTCTAGGATTATACTGTATTTATTTACTAAAACATAATAGCCTAATAGGGAAAAGTAATTTCCTTGAACGGTAATTAGGCCTCCACCCCCACCCCCTGCCCCCTCCTCAATTTTGTACATAGATCTCATGTAACACATGGGTATAATTGGTCATGTGGCCGCAGCACCCGGCCCCTTTGCCTATCTTAGCCGCATCGCTCGTCCCTATAGCCTGTCCTAGCCACAGCGCTCGGCCCAGAAATTGCCTTAACCTACCCTTACCCTGATATATCAAATAATAAGTAATAATTAAGCTGAATAAAAAGTGGCCATGTACAAAATTGACGTGAGGGGGGGGGTCCAAAAATCATTCTTTAGGACAGACCCGAAAGATTTGTGGATTTGCCTTCGCCCCCCTTAAAAAAACTGTACATGAATTTGAACTTGGTATATTCCTGGAGAACGATTTTTGACTTCATCCAAAATGAACACATGACCACAGCCCCCCTAGTTTGTAATGACCGCAGCGCATGGCCCAAAATTTGTCTTAACCTAACTCAACCCAGAAATAATTCAAATTAATTATTAATTTCATGTTGAATAAAGATAAATTATTTTTTCATGGGGAGATGGGGTCCTAAAATCTTATAATTTGCCTAAACCATTTTCCTAACTTAGAGATCGTTTTAAAGTACAATGAATTAAATTAACCTTAGTAAACTCGTTTCAAATATTATTTGTTTAGGCCGAGAGGTGGGAAGGGAGGAAGTTAATCACAAGTTCTGCACTGGATCCACTTCAACTCACGGCCGATATGTCGTCATCTGCTCGTCCAACATCATCAAGGCAGCAGGCCGTATCGGACAATAAAACAAAACAAGGTTAAGTAATTCAATGAGTGAAGAAGAAGTGGTCGATGTTTACATTTTTTGGTCAAACGCTCAACTGGTGTTGGGTTAAAGAATAGAAATTAAGCTTGCCTTAATTGAAATCCATTTTCATTTTTTTTTAAAATCCAAATAAATAATTCCGAAAAATACACACCCCTGTCTCTAAGAGTCTATATGAACCTATGACGACACGGTTGCCTTATTTTCATTTTTGATTATTTTTTCTGCTTAGATGTTGCTGGTTCAAAGTCTAGTAGACCGTCTGGGGGATATTCCCGAGGCGGTAAACGTCGAGAACCTCAAAACTCATCGCTATCCGCCACCAATCCCCGCCGTCCCCCACCTAAGGGAGCTCGAGGCGGCGGCTGGAAGCAACCGCCTTCCCGTGGTTACCCGCCGCAGTACGGCGGGTCGGCGGTAGCCGAGGAGGATGAGATAGAAGTTGGATCATTGTTTAATTATGGAAGCAAGAAGCAGGTTAGAAAATATATGTCCTGCTTTTTTTAATTTGTATCGTAGATTTAAAAAAATTAATGCATTTTTCTCCAAAATTTAAATATTTTTATTTCCAGTTTCTCTCGCACAAATGTTACAACATACTTTTATGAAAATTTAAATCAGAATTTTTTATAATATTTATAAGTAGTTTTATTTCATTTGTAGTGATTTTATTTCGACCCTAATATACCGGGGGGGGGGGGGGGATTTTTTTAAGAAAAGGTTTATGAAAATTTAAATCAGAATTCTTTTATCAATCTTTTAAGTATTTTTTTTCATTTGTAGTAATTTAATTTTTAATCTTGTATATCAGGGGGGGGGGGGCATTTTTAACAAATCTTAATACTCCACAGAATGTAATTGTAAACCTATCCCTGTATTCCAGATTATCAATATTGTTCTTGTTCCAGAGTTTGAATCATTTGCTGAACTTCCAGTACTCACCCCGGGGTCATCCAGATACTAACAACTCCCGGAGCCGAACCAGGGGCGGCAGGAATAATAATCAGAAACCGGTTTTCAGGCAGACCTACAGGTACTTATAGTTTAAATGCAGGGGTGTATATTTTTAGAATCCTTCGCCCCCTTTTTATTTATTTATTATGGTAATCCTAAAACCACGAATGGAGTTGGACATAAAATCATACATATTTATCTTCTGGGGGAGTAAAAAATTAGTTTCAACTGGCTGAGGGGGGGGGGGAAAGTATTCAAGAAAAAAACACCCCCTTCACAGTGCTAAGCATCCAGTCCATTTCTATGTAGACTTGGGAACATAATTTACTGAAGAAAAATGTCCGAATTTTTATCTTTTTTCATGAACATTTTTTTTGTTAACATATTGATCTGGGAGAGATGAGAACTCTCATTTTTTGTTACAGAGCTTTGTGTTTTGTATATTTTGGTTTAATATTTTGGCGTTTTTTGGATATTTTAGAAAGTAACCATCGTTGAAATTAGCATTCACAATTTTCTTCTTTTTCAGCAAGGAGCAATATCTACAGGCCAACTGTCAGTTTATTGTTGATGCTCGTGGAGATTACACGGTCCATGAGGTGGACCCTGATATTTCGGTCCCCTGGGACCTCATCCAGCAGGTCCATCTGAGCACAGCCGGGACGGATCCTATGAGCTGTCCCATTTGTCTATTTCCGCCAGTGGCAGGTGAGAAGTCTGGGGGAGCATTTTGTACAAACTTTTAACTTGTTAAAGGGACTGTTCAAGAAACTAAATAGACTATAAGCGCAATTTTAAGTGACTTCCTATGCAAAGATGGCAATGGCCGATTTACAACGGTACTTGTGAACCCTATTCTATTTGAAGTGTGGAATATAACGTCGGTCAAATTCTGACAGTGTCTCCATAGCGTTATGAAAATTAAAAGAAATTCAGAATGAAAATAAGTACTTTCAAGAAACAAAAACATGGATATCTTCTAATTCATATTTTATCAGACAACGCTGTAAATGGCCCCTATGTAAATCTGACATTGCCGTCTTTTCATGGGGGGCCATCTAAAATTACACAGTCCCATTAAGCAAGCAGTTATTTATCATGTCTATATAATAAAACAAGACATTCGCATATGGCCAAATGGCTGGACCGATTGAGCTGAATTTTTTTTTGGACACTCATGGGGGGCCTGGGGTGTTATAGGCCAAAAAATCGAAATTTATTCAGCTAGTATAATATAATATCTCATATTTTTTAATATTATCGATCAGTATGATTAATTTTCGATGTTTTGTTATATATTTCTAATAACGTTGAGAAGAAGTATTTTATCATTTCTGATATGCCTTAATGTAGAATAATAAACAATTAAAGTCGTCTTCAACAAAGCCCATGATTTGCCAACAAATTATAAAACTCATTTGATCTTTTCAGGATTTTTTTTATTGTCTCTTGAAGGACTCCATAAATATCCTATCTTAATTTTTCTCTTTCCAGGGAAAATATCGCGTTGTGGACACGTGTTCTGCTGGCCATGCATTCTCCACTATCTAGGTTAGGCAAAGATAATATATATATAGATATGCAGGCAGGTATAAATTTTGAGGTCTTGAGAAAAGGTGCAAACAGCACCATCTCTGTCGTACGCATGGCATTTTATCCTCTGGATTGTTGCTAATTTATCACTTTGTTTATGCGTGACAACACTAAATGCGTACTATAGTATCAACAATGTATACTGCATATTGTACTTAATGAAACAAATTAAATTTTGGGGGTGGTTTATTCACTGACCTGAGTAAAATAAATTAGTCGAAAATAAAAAAAAAGTAGGTAAAAAGTATGAAAAGGATTAAAAAAAGGTTGCCTTTTCAGGTCTGATTATTATTTTTATTTTTTCAAATCTTTGAAGATCAATTCTTAAAAGTATACATACCGCCCTGGATTGTATAAATCCTCCGTGTTTCAGCACTGTCCGATGATAAGTCCCGCAAGTGTCCGATCTGCTACGACGACATTCAGAAAACAGATCTTAAAAGTGTTCAGATTTTCCAGCAGGTATTGTTAATTATAATAAAGTGCGTTTTTTTTCACACCTCCCCCCCCCCCTTTCTGTGTCCGAAACAACTTCCATTCGAACTTGAAATTGGTTTAAAGTGATTATTTTCGCATGTTATAATTCTGATACAAGGGTTGTGAATTAGACATGCCACTTTGAAAGGTCACTTGTAACTATGGTTACAGCAGTGTAATCCTGCTTTTTCTTAGTTTCATTGGTGATAATAATTTTTTTTGAGGAGGGGTGGGGCTTTGATGCCAAACCGACAAAATTCAGTTTCATTAAATTCCATTCGATGTTAGACTTAATTAAATTTCAGGAAAGTCACGTGACCGGTGGAATTATTGAAATGCGTCTAATGAAGCGTGAGCGGAACTCGCTATTTGCAGTTCCTGTCTCACATCCAGGCCTACCCACCCATCCTTCTCTACAGGATACTCCACAGAACCAGGCACTCGGCAAGATTATCAAGGTAAATAAACATCTATTCTGGCCTCTAGAGAGATACTGAAACCAATAAGGTCCATTCTAATTAAGTACTTCGAAAGACTATGTCTCGCCTAAGATTTTCTGAAAAATATTTACATTCTTATTAATCAGAGATCTCCCTGAGCTGTCCATCAACTGTCTTAATTGACAAGAATCGGTCTCAATTGTCCTTAAAAATCTGGTTGTCGTCTTCGTTGTTTTGGTTAAAAATTAAATGTAGTCTTATTTGCTAGAAGTAATTGTAACTAAAAGCTAAACCTGTTCAGGACAGTTATTAGGGAAAAAAATAAAAATAATCAGTAACTTTTATTAAGTCGAACTTTTTTACTCAAACCTTAAAAAAATGCAATCATTTCAATTTTTCTGACTGTAGACAAATAAGATAACAAAATGAGAACCAAACTCTAGAGTATGAATTTAAAAAAATAGCTTTCTTGATTTTTTAAAAATTATTTCAATCTATTTTTGAAATAATCTAACCATCGCAATTCAGCGAATGAAATAAAGGGGGGGGGGGAGTATCTCAAGAAAATATCTTTGTTTTTAAAGTTCATCTTTTTTAGATTTTATCAATTTGAATTTACTTTAGGCAAGTCCTGATGCAGTGGTGACAAGTATACTAAGCCGGGAGCAGCGGGAATTGGAGCAGCAGTACAGAGAGGAGAAGCATCAACCGGAAGCTGTTTTTATCCAGGAAGCTATCAACTTATTGCAGGACAGGATCCTCCAGGTACAGGGGATCTATTTTGATTTAGATCCGAATCCTAATCCTTGAATGTTGATCATGGGTTCAGATGTGTGCCCCCATGCCTTATATGATCATTAAAAGGGTAAAACTGAAGAAATAAAATTCATTAATGGTGATGGACCAAACCTCTGTTGAGTTTAAAAAAGTAGATGTTGGTTCCACATTTATTGAAAATATATTTCGGTCTGGGTCGACCCTCGTCAGTTCTAACAATAATGATCATCAAAATCGGGTAAATAAAATTTAAATTGTTAAAAACCACAAGAAAATAAACAAACAAAAAAGATTTAAAAACAAAAATTTGGGTGTCAAATGGACATAAGGGAAACGAACTCAGATTATGAGATGGAAAAAAGATAAATGCAAATATTCACTTTAAAAAAAAGTTTTAAGACAATTATTATTTCTTGAGATTTTTTCTGTCACAGAGATTTAAAACAAACTATTAAGATGTATGTGTATAAAGTGGTGGTGGGGGTCGATCTAATTAACGAACTTTTGCGTAAAATAGGGAGAGGGGGCGGCTTGTTTTAGGAGGGGTATTTAAACCTTATAAAGAATTGGACATAACCAGTACTTAAAAAAAAATATAACCAGAGGAATAAGAAGGGCACCATACATGAGTTTTGCAAACTCTAATCGGCACTGGTTTAAGAAAAACGACATTTAATCTATGGTGCAGGAATGTGGATAAGAAGATGCCATGATGTCCGACCTATTGTTGTTTGAGATGTTGAATATTTTGACAATTGTTCATGTTACCAAGATATATGCTTACAATTGTAACAGTTTGAATAAAGATTACATCACTAATGCCACTGAATGTAGAGAGGACTTCAAATGAATCACCTTTTTGCACTACTCATGCAAGGTGTGGGTCTTATCGACTGTGTAAGGGTTCAAAAACGCTCCAATAAAAAAATTCTCCGTAAAGTTGTACCAGCTGCTTCATTCTTTTTAGGGATTTTCAAGTTATCCCTACCGGACTACCACGGGATATCAGACAGGAATTAATTTAACTTTGAAGTTATCCCTGCAGGACTACCACGGGATATCAGACAGGAATAAATTTAACTTTCAAGTTATCCCTGCAGGACTACCACAGGATATCAGACAGGAATTAATTTAACTTTCAAGTTATCCCTACCGGACTACCACGGGATATCAGACAGGAATTAATTTAACTTTCAAGTTATCCCTACCGGACTACCACGGGATATCAGACAGGAATTAAGTTAACTCGGAGGTCTACACTCTGTAAGATCCCGTGATAAAACCACACATATNTAGATTCAAAATTTACATTGGAATAGTGGGTAGGGTCTAACGCTTTTTTATATTCACGTCTTAATATATTTCAGTGTGGGGAAGCGTTGTCCCTGACTGAAGTAGTTAGAACTGGTCCTGTTGGAGCAAACTTTACCTCTATACCACCCATTCAAGAGATTAAGGTAAGAACGTCTAGAGGTAGTGCTTACTTTGGATGCGTTGGATCAGCAAAGTTTTGGCTTCCTGGATCCGGATCCGCAAAAAATATGCGGATCCAAGGGGAGCAAAATATCAATCAAAACCAAAGAAAAACTAACTTTTTGTTCTTAAAATCCAAATCTGAATAGAATAATTTTAGCTTTTTCTAAATATGTTAGAGTAAGCCCAAGATCCACATCAAACTGAAATGTATCCTTATTACTGTCCTGAAATCATAACAGTTTATTTAGATTAAGATTAAGTATAGGACTTACTTGTCATTTTGTATTGAATCTCAAATGGATTAGGACTAGGGTTGCCTTCTAACTAAGCTGTTCATTTTCAATAACAAAGGGATTTGAAAAACTTTGAAATTTGTAATTTAAGAGGGGAATGAAATTAGCATTTTGTTTAAAAGTAATTTCTCCCTTTTGTTAAATATGTCAGCGAGAGGCGTAAAATTTTGGGAAAAAATGAATTTTTTGATTTCAAAATTTAAAATTTATCTCATATATTTTGAACTTGCGCCTTGATGAATTCTTGTATGTTTTGCCTAGGTTGAGAAGGTGACATCTGTTGCTGATCCCTTCATGGATCTGGAAAATGTTCTTCAGAATCTTGACATTAATCAGGTATTAGAGTTGTCTCTTTCAACTAGAAAATAAGATGAATAAAATTATTTTTTTTTCATAATGTTAATGACAATATTTATCAAAAAAGTGCCCGGCCCATTGTCAAAGATTTTTAGAGATTTTAGGCAGATTAAAGATCTCATTTGTGGACAGATTTTATGAACCAGTTTTACAGATTTAATTAGTTAACAGCAAATTGAGTCTGATTTTTTGAATTAAATACTATTAGTGGAAGATTTCATGGGTTTGGAAACTTCACTGATTTTAAAATTTAAGATGCTATTTGTTGCAGACAAAAGTGTCCAGATGATCCCCATATTTTCACGAGGTTACTTTTTAAGGAACCTGTTGTGTCTGATGGTAAGGTTGGTGTTGATGTAGAGGATGAGAGGCCTCGTCATCACAGCAATAGTAGTGATGATGTCAGCAGTGAAGGTAAAAGGGATCTACACTATAGGGTTACACTCACACAAAGAATAAATTCTTGGTTCACTTGAGCTGGTAACTTGTTTTTTGAGTCTGTCCTAGAGAACGATTTTTGGACCCCNGGCCGAGTGCTGAGACCAGGACAGGCTAGGGGGCTGAGCGCTGCGGCCACATGTCTTACATTTAAGATCCGTGTACAAAATTGATAGGGGGGGTCCAAAAATCGTTCTCTAGGAAATAACCTGTTATTTTGTCAAATCATGAAATTTGTTCTTAACAGATTTTATTTTGGTAATTTCTTGGTAAACTAAATTAATCGTTTAGAATTCCAGCGCAAAGTTACGATACCATTGCATCGACACTACTTAAACGTTATTTTCGGAAACAACAGCCCAATAGAATCTAAAATTATCATATTTCAATGGCATCATGTGTCAGCCATTATATAATGAAAAATGAAAACTTTTGTTTTTACTTTTAAACTAAGCAAGATATTAACCTTTTTCATGTTCAAACACGATTGTGCAATGTACATGGATATTCAAAGATGACCTACTCTGTTCGTCAAACCGGTTCCTAGATTCCAACACTGAGAATACTTGGGAAAGTTGTGAAAACGTATCAAACCGTCAACTGTTTAGTTTACCCTCAGATTACCCAAATAAATGAACGGCCCCATTAAAGATGCATTCATATTGGATTACCCTGTATAGTGTATATTATGTAAATGGACCCCCGCCCTCCCTCCTTTATTCATCTAAAAAAAATTATCAACGAATTGGGGCAAAATTTATCTTTTAAAAAGTGGGGGGGGGGGTGATGTTTTTATCACATTATATACCTTTACCCCTGTTAAAATAGAACTATTAAAAAATCTAGCTTTCATTCGGAATTGAAATGAATTTTTTTAAAGGGGGGGGGCCACAAAACGTATTACTCTCCGGAAAATTTAAACAGTGGTTAAACATAACTTAGAATTGTCGTAGGAGGCTGATTTTTTGCATGCAAACTCAGAATTATGTATATTACGTGCATTTTTTGGTTTTGAAGGAATCTGAGCAAAAGTGCGTGCGCGCGCGCGTTTTTTGTGAAAAAATGCGACTTTTTTGACAGTAAATCAATGTTAACTTCATTAATTGCACTTGAAAATTTTTCCTGACACTCTTGAAACAAATATGCGCTAAAAAAATTCAACCC